ACAAACTATGTAACCCATCATATAGTTTTGGGCAAAGGCATAATTGACCAGGTACCAATGTTAATAACAAATAAGGAACGTTATGATGGGCAGCGCCAACAATCCAGGGAGCCAGCCAGCATAGCATTGTTGTCATGGGCTGCTGTTCTGCTCGTCCTTGTGCTCATTCCACACCACAGGACGTTGCATTTGATGTCGTAGCGACCACAGGTTGTCCTAGGGTCGTCTCCCAGACTCTTGCCCTTCTTCCGTCTCTCTTGGTCCTCTTCCAGTTCTTTGTCCCTTACCTCTCCGAGAGGAATTATCATCATGTACGTCACCACATTCGCCGTCACCTCAACCGTGATGTGGGTGTGTGTAGTATTGTGGGTTTAAATGGGAGAAGAGTGTAAGGTTGGTGGTGTTGGAAGTTATGCCGTAACCGGCATTACGAGGAAGATAACTGGCCTGGAAATTAACGTACTTGCATGGGTCAAGTTGCGAATGCCAAGGAGGCTGTAGAGGTGGATGTTAGTGGAAGTGTGGACGTGGGTGAAGATGTTAATAGAGCAGGTCTCGTGGAGAGTGTGGGTGCCTTACAATACATGGCACTCGCGCTCTCCGCAAGACTTGTTCCTCTATTAACATCTTGCATAAGGGTTACATAACGCGTCGCGGACTGATCGGAAACAAAGGCAAGCCGCAAGGTCTTGGCGTCTGAGGGCCAGGCTCCTTACAGACGCTCAGATCTTCAGTGCAAGGTAAACACACCGTCCCTCCTCGCGTCCCTCAGCCACCGTCACCCACAGATGGTGGCGGTGGTCCGTCCCATATACTGGTAACTTGAGCATCAGGCAGAGCTGTGGTCCTTTGTTACCGGACGGAGGACAGGTAATGATGGGGTAATGGCTCTGACGTAGGCGCCCTTCACACTCACACACTGCTCAACGAATTCACACAACTTTGTTTTGTTATTTATTTTAATTCTCCTTGTCTAGACCGTCTATCTGGTAACAATATCCAGTTGCTCAAGATAATTATTTAGGAAATAGTTGAAGACACGAATCCCATTTCACAGATACAGATATATTTATGGAAAATGTTGCACATGTGAGTCTTCCAGAGGTCTTGGAGATGCTTCCAGCTCGAGCCAATGGCTGTCTTTAGTACCCTCGTGTCAGGCAATTTGAACATGTTGCATTCTGACCGTTGGTATAAGCTTCGGAGCAGACTTTTGATGTGCTATGAAACTAGTCCCTATAATGAATTCAACAGACGAACAAGAACTCTTAATGGTCAACTCACCTATAATCTGATCATACGCAAACACCTGAAGGGTGTCCATCAGTCCTATTTAATTTTGAGGAACCAGAGTGAATACTCCGTCTTGGTGATTTTCTTTAAGAGATTTAAGAGTGACCCTCAAGTGTTAAGTTTTGGTTGTTAGTTACAGATAGTTTTGATGACCGTCTTAGCCAACACAGCCAACTGGTAAATGGTGGCGGCGACGTGCACAGTGGGCGGCGACGTGCACAGTGGGCGGCGACGTGCACAGTGGGCGGCGACGTGCGCGGCCTGCCGCCCCCTACACGCCACCACCGGTACCTGCCACCACCGGTACCTAATACAGTGGGTGCCACCTCCCCCTCACCTAGGCCAAGGAAATGCCAGGAATAAGAGCGTGGATGGCGGTGTGGGCGTTGTGATAAGGGAAAGTTTGTTTACGTGGGCGGCTACGTGTAGTATGGTGGGCGCCCGCAGACTTTCACCCGTCCAGCCTCTGTCCACCGTCACGCACTTCACCCAACACTTCCGGCGGGTACAGGTGCTCGTGACCACACTGACACAATGGGTTACGTCGCGTCAAGAGGGGGAGTGTCCCCTGGTTGATACCTGGTTGATGGGGTTCTGGGAGTTCTTTTACTCCCCAAGCCCGGCCCGAGGCCAGGCTCGACTTGTGGGAGTTTGGTCCACCAGGCTGTTGCTTGGAGCGGCCCGCAGGCCCATATACCCACCACAGCCCGGTTGGTCCGGCACTCCTTGAAGGAAACAATCTAGTTTCCTCTTGAAGATGTCCACGGTTGTTCCTGTAATAATTCTGATTCTCGCTGGTAGGACGTTGAACAACCGTGGACCTCTGATGTTCATACAGTGTTCTCTGATTGTGCCCATGGCACCTCTACTCTTCACTGGTTCTATTCTGCATTCTCTTTCATGTCGTTCACTCCAGTACGTTGTTATTTTACTGTGCAGATTTGGGACCTGGCCCTCCAGTATTTTCCACGTGTATATTATTTGGTATCTCTCTCGTCTCCTTTCTAGTGAGTACATTTGGAGAGCTTTGAGACGATCCCAATAATTTAGGTGCGGAGAGGCAGGTGTAGCAGGAGGCACCCCGGCACACCTGTCAGGTGTAGTGAGAGAACGCGCTCATCTGGGCCTTATCAATGAACGCAGTAAATCATACAAATAAAAGAGAAGTCTTTCGGAATTGTAACATAAGGATAGATTAGTATTTCGTTGCCATTGTATAACCCCGTGCACGTCCTGTTGCTTCATGTTCCTCTCCCTTAAATACACTTAAGTGGCAAAAACTTCAATTGAAGCATGACCTAGAAGGAACCGAGGCCTCAAGTTACATTAATATATGCTATGTACCTTGAACAATGTGGCAAGATAGTGAGTGGTGTTGCAAGGTTTACCGATATGAGGTATTTCCTAGGTGGCCAGTACGACTGAGGGAAGGGCATTCTCTCCTGAGACGTGTGGCGGTGCTCGCCCACCACCACACGTTACAACAACCTTGTGGAAGACACAACAACTTGCCAGACTCGTCCAACTAGCCCCTGATCAAGTGGGCTGATGGGTCAACATCATTTCTTGGGAGCCGCAATAATATAACACAAAAGAGCTACACGAGAGACTGGTCTTGACAATGTTGGTAGAGAGGGAGAGGGCGGGGATGGTTAAGGGCCACAGCAAGACTAACGGCTGGGACACGATGACAACAGCAGCTGGCTGGGATGACTGAATGAGAGGCTGGTGCACCAGAGGGCGGGGGAGGAGGCGAGGGGCGGCACACAGGGCACCGCCGCCCTCATCCTTCAACACGTCATCCTTTCTGACCTCTTATTCCAGACCAGGGAGATCACTCAGGCACGCTACCCTAGTCCCACTCCTTGACAACGTCACCTGGCCGACCCAGAGACACCTTAACAGCGCCACCTGGCCGACCCAGAGACACCTTGACAGCGCCACCTGGCCGACCCAGAGACACCTTGACAGCGCCACCTGGCCGACCCAGAGACACCTTGACAGCGCCACCTGGCCGACCCAGAGACACCTTGACAGCGCCACCTGGCCGACCCAGAGACACCTTGACAGCGCCACCTGGCCGACCCAGAGACACCTTGACAGCGCCACCTGGCCGACCAATGCACGGCCACAATAAGAAAACACTGCGATAGACTACAGACAACCGTACAAGGGAGAATAAACTAAATTAAATATATTTGGTATGAACCCAAAATGTCAATAAACCATCACAATTAAATACCAAATAATATTTTCTGATAATACTAATTAATGTCAGTGACTCCCAGACAACCATTCAACTGTTCCTTGCTGTAAGGCATAGTTCTGACACCATCCTACGGAGGTGAGGCCTAGAGTGGTAACACTGTACTGACAACCACCACCATGGCACCACCAGCAAGAGGCACCACCACCATGGCACCACCAGCAAGAGGCACCACCACCATGGCACCACCAGCAAGAGGCACCACTACCATGGCACCACCAGCAAGAGGCACCACCACCATGGCACCACCAGCAAGAGGCACCACCACCATGGCACCACCAGCAAGAGGCACCACCAGCAAGAGGCACCACCAGCAAGAGGCACCACCACCATGGCACCACCAGCAAGAGGCACCACCACCATGAGGCACTACCACCATGGCACCACCAGCAAGAGGCACCACCACCATGGCACCACCAGCAAGAGGCACCACCACCATGGCACCACCAGCAAGAGGCACCAACACCATGGCACCACCAGCAAGAGGCACCAACACCATGGCACCACCAGCAAGAGGCACCACCACCATGGCACCACCAGCAAGAGGCACCACCACCATGGCACCACCAGCAAGAGGCACCACCACCATGGCACCACCAGCAAGAGGCACCACCACCATGGCACCACCAGCAAGAGACACCACCAGCAAGAGGCACCACCACCATGGCACCACCAGCAAGAGGCACCACCACCATGGCACCACCAGCAAGAGGCACCACCACCATGGCACCACCAGCAAGAGGCACCACCACCATGGCACCACCAGCAAGAGGCACCACCGCCATGGCACCACCAGCAAGAGGCACCAACAGCAGCAAGAGGCACTACCACCAAGAGGCACCACCACCATGGCACCACCAGCAAGAGGCACCACCACCATGGCACCACCAGCAAGAGGCACCACCACCATGGCACCACCAGCAAGAGGCACCACCGCCATGGCACCACCAGCAAGAGGCACCACCAGCAGCAAGAGGCACTACCACCAAGAGGCACCACCAGCAAGAGGCACCACCAGCAGCAAGAGGCACTACCACCAAGAGGCACCACCAGCAAGAGGCACCACCAGCAAGAGGCACCACCACCATGGCACCACCAGCAAGAGGCACCACCACCATGGCACCACCACCATGGCACCACCAGCAAGAGGCACCACCAGCAGCAAGAGGCACTACCACCAAGAGGCACCACCAGCAGAACGCACCATCACAAAAATGTAACCAACCCAAAAGTAGTAACAACGAATATACATTTGTAATAACCCCAGTGACACAAAAATTTAAAAGTACTAAATCCCAAGCCCAATGAGGTCACCGCTCCTGTGCCAGGTAAGTTACGGGCTCACCATAGCCCGTGTTACTTGGAACCTGTTCCGAGTAGCTGAATCTATAACAACATGTCGCTATGAGGCGAGAGAAGTAACATGTGGGTGAGGACTTACCTGAGTGACTGGGTGACGCTCATGTAGCCGCAGGTCGTCATGGGGGAAGAGCTCCTGGATCCTCTCTACCTCACTCTCCTCCGCCTCCCCGCGCCTCACCAACTGCAATAAAGCAAACAAATTTATAAGCATTTCTGTATCAACTAAAATACTTGGTCTGTTGTTTCTGTTGAGGTAAACAACAGACCCATCACTGGCTACAACAGACCCATCACTGTCAGCGTCTACAACAGACCCATCAGTGTCGGGGTCTACGAGACTTCGTCACGACCCATCGCTCAATATCAACAATGTAATAAACTTTGCTTTACTTAACACCCACACGCGTGAGACTAAGCAAGTGGGTCGATGGACTCGCCTGTGGTAGCAATCAGGGTCACTCCTTGAGAGTCCCCCCCCCCCACCACACACACACACACACACACACACACACACACACACACACACACACACACACACACACACACACACACACACACACACACACACACACACACACACACACACACACACACACACACACACACACACACACACACACACACACACACACACACACACACACACACACACACACACACACACACACACACACACACACACACACACACACACACACACACACACACACACACACACACACACACACACACACACACACACACACACACACACACACGAGTCCACATGCAAGCCGACAAGAGTTACACTTGTGGTGTAAACAAGCAATACACCTCCAAGCCCTCGTTATACCTATTACGCCAGAGACCCCCATCAGGGTCCCTGCGTACCCCATCAGTTACAGTGAGTGCTCTTACAGCAGGCACGCCTGGGTGTGGCCTGGGGGTTCTAACAATGGTGGGTACAGGACATTACAGCAGCAGACTACTTCTGAATCTTGTTAGCAAGCTTAGAGCTCCTTTCCCTTCTCATAGCTCATAGTCTTACCCTATTGTTATCTCTGGAATACGACCTGCTAATCGGTTAACAACCAGGTACCCAATTGCTGCTGGTTGAACAAGGATGAATAGTTAACCATTGGCGCCCAGTGAATCCTCCCCGGCCAGGAATCGAACCGACACCATGTCGCTAGCGAGGCGCGGGACAAGTGTTGCCACTACGCCACCAGGGAACTACACTATTGAGGAAGCGTGGAGAATTAGTTATGAGTTGTGATGAGACATTCCCGCGTGTCAGGAACGCAGGAAACACCTCCCGCCTCCATAACTGTACCGCCACAACAGGAACACTAAACTCGCAGGAGGATGGGAACAAGCGCCAGTCTGGGCGTAAAATATGCAAATGCCGATCAATGTCCTTACTCACAAATGTTACATTTTAAGTTTGGCAAGAAAAAGCGACAATATATATCAGGTCAATAATATAAGAGACGTCAGTGTGACCGCGAGAGCTCTGGCAGCAATGTTAATATTGAGGTAAAATCTACACGATGCTGACAGTGTATCAATGTTCTCAGTAAGGTCAATATAACACTGGCTAGTTAGTGTTAGAAGTGTTTGCAACATTAAGAGTAATGTCCTCCAGCGTCAGCCTGTGTTCTACCCCACTTGGAATATAATTGAACACTGAACAATGTGTTGAGCAAGTATTGTTACTGTGCTACAGTGAGGCTCCTCAGCACAAGCTGAGTTAAGTATACATTTGAGTGAAAATGTATAACAAAATAAGATATAAAACATGGTTTACAAACATCACTTCAAGTCAGACATTGCAACAATATATACAAACTGAACAGCTTTAAATATAATAAATGGTATTAATATTAGTGTATTTTGGTAGCAGTCTTTCTTGTAAACATATGTTGTTAAATAAGACCAAAAAAGTAAGATTAATAATTCTAACACGAATTTTCTCAATATTTCTTATGTTTCTTTTTACTGTTGATGGTAATTGAAAAATCAATTCTTGATTTGAGAATTAATTTTTCCAATTACCATCAACAGTAAAAAGAAACATAAGAGAGAGAAAATTCGTGTTAGAATTATTAATCTTACTTTTTTGATCTTATTTAACAAAATAAATGGCATTAACATAAGAACAAGGTAACTGCAGAAGGCCTATTGGCCCATATTAGTAAACCCTTATATTACAACAGTTGTAGAGGTGATTCAGACTATCAACTGAGCCTTTGCAGGTGAAGTCACGCCACCACCTGGAGGATCAGATGACGCTGTAGTCGTGATATGGTTACCACCAGTGCCAGAGGTTGTATGTGTATACTGTTGTACCACAGAGACTGGCCACTGTGACACGACGCAACATTAATGGAAGCGTGCACGGCGTCTTGGGCATGCCCAACTCCTCTCACATGGCACGTTATTCATACACGGTACTGGACACAGTTCCCACATAGCGTTGTGACCTCTAACTGGACACATGGGGTAGAGAGGCGTGGCGTGGAGAGACGTGGCCTGGGGTCGGGAGGCGTGGAGGGGCGTGGCGTGGAGAGGCGTGGAGGGGTGTGACGTGGCGTGGAGGGGCTGGGAGCGTCGTGGCCCAGGGTGCGGCACAAGGAATAAATCTTGTCATATGCTCAAACGCCCCAGAGCGGGTGTGCCGACGGTCCGGGGGTGGGGGGGGGGGGGTGTCGCCTCCTTGTCTCAAGTCAGTGGAAAATGTTCACCCAATGTTATTTTCGTCTCTAGGGCAAATTGGTATTTATTTCCCAATAAACGAGTATAACTGACTGAAGAAGAGAAAACACAGCGAGAGTAAAGAAGAGCACCGATAAGAAGAGAATGTATACGAGCAGCGATTATCTGGTATGAGAGTAGGCCTGAGGCCACGATAGGCCTGAGGCCACGGTAGGCCTGAGGCCACGGTAGGCCTGGGGCCACGGTAGGCCTGGGGCCACGGTAGGCCTGAGGCCACGGTAGGCCTGGGGCCACGGTAGGCCTGGGGCCACGGTAGGCCTGGGGCCACGGTAGGCCTGGGGCCACGGTAGGCCTGAGGCCACGGTAGGCCTGGGGCCACGGTAGGCCTGGGGCCACGGTAGGCCTGGGGCCACGGTAGGCCTGGGGCCACGGTAGGCCTGGGGCCACGGTAGGCCTGAGGCCACGGTAGGCCTGGGGCCACGGTAGGCCTGGGGCCACGGTAGGCCTGGGGCCACGGTAGGCCTGGGGCCACGGTAGGCCTGGGGCCACGGTAGGCCTGGGGCCACGGTAGGCCTGAGGCCACGGTAGGCCTGAGGCCACGGTAGGCCTGGGGCCACGGTAGGCCTGGGGCCACGGTAGGCCTGGGGCCACGGTAGGCCTGGGGCCACGGTAGGCCTGGGGCCACGGTAGGCCTGGGGCCACGGTAGGCCTGAGGCCACGGTAGGCCTGAGGCCACGGTAGGCTTAAAGTGTAGATAGGGCCGAGGTGAAAGTGGGGCTGAGGTGAAGAAATTAGGGCTGAGGAGAGGGCAGAGCTGATGAGAAGGTAGGGCTAAGGAGAACAAGGTAAGGGTGAAGTGAAGAAATTAGAGCTGAGCTAAAGTTAAAAAACAGCTGAAAGTAGTGGGAGAGATGAGGGTGAGACCGGGGTAGTGGCTCAGCCATGGGGTAGTGGGCTCAGCCATGGCCGGCTCTGAACAGGGATTAACACAAGAAAGGTTACGAGAGGAAGGGGGGGAAGGGGGCCTAATGGTCGGGCTGGAGGAGGCTCAGTTATCCCTAAGTGAGGCCTCTGTCACCCTCTGGTAGGGGAAGGATTGGAAACGTAAATTATAGACAGCCTTATCAGTTTTTAAAGAAAGTTATGCTATGGACGGCCTGTGGTGGATATGTGGGCCTGCGGGCCGCTCCATGCAACAGCCTGTTGGACCAAGCTCTCTCAGTCAAGCCTGGTCCCGGGTTGGCTTGGGGAGTAGAAGAACTCCCAGAACCTCATCTGTACAATCCAGTTGAGGAGAGGCAGAGGGCGAAGCTGGAGGAATGCGGGATGACGGATGGCCTTATACGACGGAGAGGGCCAGGCGTCGCATGCGCCCTGCCTTCACCAACAACCTACAATTTACCAAAGCTTCGCCATCAAAACACACCTCACCATCCCTCACCGCTGGAGTTTATTCACACATACATACACACACACACACACACACACACACACACACACACACACACACACACACACACACACACACACACACACACACACACACCCACCCACCCTTCTTCATTCTTGTAAACACAATCATGGTAGTGGGTGGGAGGCAGCGATGTTCCTTTTCGTTCTGTTTTTTAGGCTGCAGGAAAGCAAGGGCAGTGATGGCACAGGCTGTAGCGCCTCTACTCACTGCCTTACACCCACCACCAGCCCCGACAACTCAATTATAATATCAAAACACCCTTAATAAGTACGCATACACTGTCGTATAAATATTGTATTTTCATAGACCTAGAGTATATAAAGTAAAGAAGAAGGCAGTAAAGATGGGCGGAAGGCTCGGGGTGGAGGTTATAGGGACGATGAGGGAGGTGGCGCCGAGGTCGGACACCCCCAGAATACTGATCACTTAACTCCTACTCCACCCTTCGCCCGGACAAATAAAATATTTAGCAATCACAAGATATCTGACTAAAAATTGTGTAAGTTATAAGGACGTCACTCCAATGTTTTACTAGTTTCTCTTTTTACTAGTTTCTCTTAAGTTAAAAAAAAACTCCTCGGAAGATTTCAGAGTACAAATAGAAATTAATCTGTATGAAGGTTTTGTAAAAGTTTATGTTATTGGGGAATTTGTAAAAGCGGGACTACAAAAGCCCTAAATACGACGGTCAACAGCAGGAATTTCTACACGTTTTATATGTTTGACAAATTAAATGTTGGAAATATAAATATTAAACAAAACCGAAGCTATTACAATGCACTTAGGGATGGAGAACAGATCGTTACACACGTGTGAGAGTTAAACACAGCCGCACATTTCTGGCAGCTGCTACACCTGTCGTAGCAAGAACAGCCTCTTAACATACAACAAAAAAATGTCCCACTCCTCAAGCAATGACAGACTGATAACAAGAAATTAATTTGTCCACAGACAAGACTGTGTTAAACTGGTTGATACCTGGTTGATGGGGTTCTGGGAGTTCTTCTACTCCC